ATTTTTACAGCTAACGGCCACTAGGGGGATACCTAAATCCATCCACCATGTTGACGTCACATTTGCTTCAACACACAAGTAGCTGCGCGCACGGGAACGCGGAGGTCCTCCGGAAGCAGACTTCTACTGCAAGTGGTACGAGACAGAACGACAGCGAGAGAAAGACGGACATTGCAAGCGCAAGACAGTTTGTGAGACACCCTCATTATGGAAAAAACGTAGAAATGCATATGATGCAGCTTTTTAAGTTAAAGGCAGTCAATTTGGCAGTAAACGAAGGAAATAGAACCGCTGCATGTAACTTTGGAATGCAACGAGTCAATGGTGAGACGTTGGAGACGCCAGCAGGAAAAATAAATAAATCGTTCACCAAAACGGGTCGCATGAGAAAAGCTACCGTTGCACAAGTTTGCGAGTGGATCCTGATGGCGTGGAGGAGTGTAAAAAAAATCCACAATCACCAACGGTTCAGAAAGGCTGGACTGCTGCGTGATTGAGAGGAGAACGCCGCCACACCTGAGGCCTTTCAGAGGCTGTTCGATTCTGACAGTGACGAAGAGGAGTTCGTTGGTTTTGAGAGCGACATTGAAAGAGAGGGGAGAGTGGCTGACGAAGCCCTGAACCTGTTTGTTTCCGACACTGAAGATGAGGACTTTTGTGGTTTTAGTACGGAGGAAGAAGATGAAGATGAGGATTAATGACTTGACTTTTCTGGTTACAGCCATGTACTTCACCAAAGATGAAGAGGAGGGTTACGGTAATAACTTTTCTGGTAGACTGATAACCGTATATTTTAAGCAGCAGTGTTACTGCAATTTAGACTTACTGTAGTGTCACAGGCACTTTATTTGTTGTTGTAGCTTTATAAGTTCTGTACCTTCTGTAGCTACTATTGCACTAAATGGTTGAAAATGTTATGCAAATATGCAACTTGTTTGTTCAAATGTTTATAAATAGGAGCTACTATTGCACTAAATTGTAACAGTTAACGTATGCAAATATGCAACTTGTGTTGAAATGATAATAAATAGGAGCTTCCCCAAACAGTTGCCTCTTTCCCAACATCCCCTCTGTGCATGAACCATATGGTAATTACGTAAACATAAAAAACCTGCGGCTTATAGTCCGGTGCGGCTTGTATATGTACAAATCATGCAATTTAGCTTCTGCGGCTTATATTCAGGTGCGGCTAATAGTCCGGAAAGTACGGTAGTTCTATTTAAGTTCAAGTAAATTCTGTTAATCTAATTGATTTTAATCTTTTAAAATCTATTTTAGTTATCTAGTTCTTTTTTAAGAAATTATGATTTTTTTTAATCTCCTATTTTAACTGTTTCTTGTTTCAATTATGACCCAACAGAAAATTTTACATTCCACACCACCAATGTATAGTGAATGCAGTTCAAAAGAAGAAGAAAATAAAACACAACAGAAAAATCCAGTAAAAACAACTGAATAACTTGTGCTTCAGACCAGTCTTTCTCTATGAGGATCCTGAAGGGTTATTTCCGTTTCTCTGAATCCGCTTTTCCTTAGCAGGAAACATGGGCAAGATCATACCAGTCTGGATGATTCGAAGTGTCCAGCAGAGGGCGTAGCTCCTGCTAGACGACAGTTACAGTGCTCCTGGGTTAACGGCTCGCCATCTCGTTTCTCGTTAGCAGAATCCAATTCGGCAATCGGTTTGGATTTTCCCGGTCCAGCTTCCAGCAGGACTTTAAAAAGGCCTGGTTCAATAACCACAAGCACAAAGAAAAGTCCCTTCAACTTTGCTCTGTGCTGAACAAAGCAACACACTCGCCAATTCGGCTAATCCGTTACTTCAACGGCTCTGAACATAGACCAACGGAAATGCGCTGCTTCAACTTTCCGCCTCAATTAAATAAAATAATTTTACAAATAATATTCTTCACAGAAAAATAAAATACAGTTTTTGACTCACCAAGACCAGTAGAAAACACTCTGAACGTAGTCAACAAAAGAATTTCAGAAGCTCCTCCTCCAAAAAATGAGGAAAAGTTCCCAACGGCTGGTAGCGTCACCAATCGGCGGTTTGCTCTTATCTCCCTTCACTCAGCACAACTCTTCGCTTCTTCGTTCTTTCTGGTTCTGCCTCGCGCTCTCCCCTTCTTCCCCAAGCCAGAGAATACAGCAATCCGATTGGCTGGAGCCAGTTACCTGGCCTACACATCAATGTGACCCTTCAGAATAAGAGATTTGTTTTCTCACACCTGACCGTTTTAACCGCTGACAAAATAAATATGTTTCACACACTTTCAAACCAAACAAAATATCATACATGAATATCAATTACACTGTGTAATTATCTTTTTTACGTATTTATTTATTTGAAACTATTTTAAACCTTATTTATTCTGTATATATTTGTTATTTATGCATTATATAACTATTTGTTATGAAAAGGCTTTTATTTAAGTGAAGGCTATTTTAACTTGGGATACACCCGGACATTGGGATGTCATTCGGACTGGAGAAGTGTGGTTGGCTGGTCACAAAGAGGGGGAAGGTCATCCGCACAGATGGCGTCTCACTCCCAGAAGGAACAATAGCAGACATAGAGGACGGTTACAAGTACCTAGGTATACCACAAGCAAATAGCAACCTCGATGAAGTCACAAGGAAAGGATCCACAGCTAAATACCTCCAACAAATAAGGCAAGTCCTGAGAATCCAGCTCAATGGCAAGAACAAAATCCGTGCGATAAACAGCTATGCCTTGCCAGTAATCAGATACCCTGCTGGAATAATTAGATGGCCAAAGGAGGAGATAAAAGTCACAGATATTAAGACTAGAAAACTACTAACCATGCATGGAGGGTTCCATCCCAAATCCAGCACCCTGAGACTGTACACGAGCCGCAAGGAAGGAGGCAGAGGACTAGTGAGTGTGAGAACCACTGTCCAGGACAAAACAACTAAGATCCATAAATACATCAGGGACAAAGCCTCAACAGACAATGTGCTCAGTGAATGTCTCAGACAACAGGGAATGGAGGTTGAGGTGCCAGAGATACCATCATGGGAGGACAAGCCCCTACATGGGATGTACCACCAGCAAATAACCCAAGTGGCTGATATCAGTAAATCCTACCAATGGCTGGAAAAAGCTGGACTCAAGGACAGCACAGAGGCCCTCATCCTGGCCGCCCAGGAACAGGCCCTAAACACCAGAGCAATAGAGGCCCAGATCTACCACACCAGACAAGACCCAACGTGTAGGTTGTGCAAGGAAGCCCAACCTGGATAGTAGACAGTCCAACACATAACAACAGGGTGAAGATACTGGCAGGGAAAGCGTACATGGAACGACATAACCAAGTGGCAGGCATAGTGTACAGAAACATCTGTGCAGAATATGGACTGGAAACCCCGAGATCAAAGTGGGGAACACCCCCAAAGGTGGTGGAGAACGCCAGAGCTAAGATCCTGTGGGACTTCCAGATCCAGACAGACAAAATGGTAATGGCGAACCAACCAGACATTGTCGTAGTGGATAAACAACAGAGGAAAGCCGTTGTGGTAGATGTAGCAATACCAAGCGATTGCAACATCAGGAAAAAGGAGAAACTGGAGAAATACCAAGTCCTCAGGGAAGAACTGGAGAGGGCCTGGAAGGTGAGGACCACAGTGGTGCCTGTGGTCATCGGGGCCCTCGGGGCAGTAACCCCAAACTGGAGCAGTGGCTACAACAGATCCCAGGAACAACATCAGACATCTCAGTCCAGAAATGTGCAGTCTTTGGCACAGCCAAGATACTGCGCAGAACCCTCAAGCTCCCAGGCCTCTGGTAGAGGACCCGAGCTCAGAGGATAAGAACCACCCGCGGTGGGTGAGAAGGAAATTTTTTTACATATTGAGACACCAGTTTAACGGTTGGTTCTTTCCAGAATCCCCTCGCTCCCCGTTGCTGCCAATTACAGCAACAATCACAGAACAAACATCCGGCACTGTTCTCAAACCAGAATCTTGCTGACTTCTTGTGTGTTCAAATATTCAAGTCAGAAAGAAACTTATCTTGATTGTCTTTCAGCTGTCTTTGTCCTGGCAGTGAGATCAGACCGTTAGCAGCCAATGGCTCCCAACCGCTAACGGCTCTGTGATCCAGGTTTCCTGTTCAGACAATCTCTGATAAATTTTCTCCAATGGTGAACAGAAAAATTACTGCAAACACTGTGATATTCAGCTAAGAATGAATGAAACTGCTGCTGCGCAAGTGACGCAACGGGCTGTTGCTAGGTAACCAAGGAATGACTGAGTTGCTAGGTAACAATAACTGAATACCAGCTTGTTGCTGTTAAGCCGGGATTACGTTTGGCAAAGAACGGCACAGACCTTCATCTCTGCAGAAACCCTCAGCCTCAGATGCAACAAATCCACTTTCTTATCCAGTGAATGGACACCGGCCAGAAAGACAGTTGGAAATGGTGGCTTCCAAGGCATCAGCTAGATTTCCCCTTTTTCTGTTTTCGGGCACCATTTGACCGTTGGTCCTCGCACCCTGCCGTGCCAGTCCATTGTCCTCAAGAGCCGCTGTCTCCCAAGTGTGGACTTCAGCCTTGGTGACATATTACCAGCTGAACTGTCTCCAGTGGCCATCAGCTTCAGCTGTAAAGTTTGTTTTTATTCAAACTTCAGCAGTTTTCTAGTTGTCCTTCTGAGGTAGTGACATCAATTTGTGACATCACGCAATTTGATGTCACAAAGAGTGATGCACCCTTTTTGGAATGAGAATGTATCACTTCTGAATCTACGGTCATAGCTATTGCAGCAGTTGGAGAGAGAGCACAAGTATTGTACTCATCGCACTGACAAGCAAATAGTCAATTTTCTGATCAATTTTCAGATTTTTTTAGAGAGAAAGAATTAAAATGAATAAGACCAGTAAGAAAAACAAGTCTTTTTATTTAAAAGACAAAGAAATGCAACAAACCATAGCGAGACAGACGCAGCAGCTCAATGAAATTATGAAAAAAGTGAGCATGATGTCCATCGACCGAAAGTCTTTGCTTAAAGCAAATGAGGAGCTGAACGCGCAAGTTCTAAATGCGAAAAAAGCTGCATTTGAAGTAGACACTCTGCTTCGCGAGAAAGACAGGGAATTAAAAGAACAGCTGGAGGCAAACGAAGCTTTAAAGAAAAATATCACCACTCTGGAGCACGAAAAGACCACCTTGAAGAGCGAAAAGATGGCCTTAGAGATAGAAAAGACCGCCTTGGAGATAGAAAAGACCGCCTTGGAGATGGAAAAGACCGTCTTGGAGAACGAAAAGACAGCCTTGGAGAGGAAAAAGATAGAAAAGACCGCCTTGGAGAATGAAAAGACGGCCTTGAAGAACGAAAAGACCGCCTTGGAGAACGAGAAGACGGCCTTGGAGAACAAAAAGACCGCCTTGGAAGAGAGAAGCATAAACTTGGAGCATGAAAAGACAGCCTTGGAGGAGAAAATCACCATCTATGATCACACAAACATGATCTGGAAAGAGGAAAACACCGCCCTCAAGCTGAAAAGAGACGTCTTGGAGCAGACAAACACCGCCTTGGCGCACATAAACTCCACCCTCGAGCAGGAAAAGACTGCCTTGGAGGAGGAAAACACTACTCTTAAGGTGAAAAACACCGCTCTGGAGCAGAAAAGTGACGAATTGGAGCAAATAAACACTGTATTGGAGGAGGAAAACACCTCTCTGAAGGTGAAAAACACCGCTCTGGAGCAGAATAGTGACATCTTGGAGCAAATAAACACTGTCTTGAAAGAGGAAAACACCACTCTGAAGATGAGAAGCGCAGCTCTGGAGCAGAAAAGTGACGTCTTGGAGCAGAAAAACACAACCTTGGCGGAAATAAACACCACCCTTGAGCTAGAAATTAATGCCTTGAAAGAGAAAAACACCACTCTGAAGGTCAAAAACACACTCTGGAGCAGAAAAGTGCCATCTTGGAGCAGACAAACACCGCCTTGGCGCATATAAATACCAACCTTAAGCATGAAAACACCGCCCTGAATAAGGGAAAGACCGCCTTAGAGGAGGAAAATAATGCCCTGACGCTGAAAAGCACCACTCTGGAGAAGAAAAGAACCACCTTGGAGAGGAAAACCACGGCCTTGGAGCAAATAAATGCTATCCTCAAACAGGAAGTCACTGCCCAGGGACAGAAAATCACCGCTTTAGAGGAGGAAAAAAGCTCCCTGGAAAAGGAAAACTCCACCCTGAAGATGAGAAGCACCACCCTGGAGAAGAAAATAACCATCTCGGAGAAGAATAAAACCATCTTGAAGAGGAAATCCACAGCCTTGGAGGAAATAAAAGCCATCCTCATGCATGCAGTCACCGACCGGGGGCAGAAAATCACCACTTTAGAGGAGGAAAAAAGCTCCCTGGAGGAGGAAAACTCCACCCTGAAGCTGGAAATCGATGCCTTGATGAAATATAGCACCAACCTGGAGTTGAAAAGCAAGACCCTGGAAGAGATAACCAGTGCTTTAGAGGAAATGAACACCGCCTTTGAACTGGAAAACACCGCCCTGAAGCTGCAAAATACCGGAGATGTCTTGGAAGAGATAAAGCAGAACAAAAAGAAGGGAGATAGAGTAGAACAGCAGAACCAGCAGCCACCTACAGAGGAAACCCACGAAGACAGCCAGTCGGTTTCAGACCAGCCATCAGTAATCGTACGTGTGGTCAGAGGTATCTGCAAAACATATCAGAAAATGAGCGAAAATGGTACTCTGAGCTACTGGACTGAACTGTAATTAAAAAAGTGTCCAGATAATTGCTTCAGGCTTGATTATTGGCGGCAGAAAAGTTTACAACAAAAGGACTGCGATGTCAAGGGAGCTTGACACTTAGGGTCTGATGGCGGAAGATGTTGGCAGGAGAGTTTGCGGCCCGCAGGACTGCGGTGCCATGGGAACTTGAGGCCTCGAGTTCCCAGACCATCAGACTCTAATCCCATTTGTCGTCAGGTCATCAGACACTCTCCGGGTTGACCGCCAGGGCTTCGTGCTGAGTCTTTCTGCACGAAGTTTGCATGTTCCCCCAAGCTTGTGTGGGTTCTCTCCGGGTACTCCGGCTTCCTCCCAAAGTAAAAAAGCATGACTGTTAGGTTAATTGATTCCTCTAAAATAAATCTGGTAGCATTCGTGTGTGTGTGTGTGTGTGTGTGCGTGTGTGCGTGTGTGTGTGTGTGTGTATGTATAAAAATTCCCTTCTCACCCACCGCGGGTGGTTCTTATCCTCTGAGCTCGGGTCCTCTACCAGAGGCCTGGGAGATTGAGGGTTCTGTGCAGTATCTTGGCTGTGCCAAGGACTGCACATTTCTGGACTGAGATGTCTGATGTTGTTCCTGGGATCTGTTGTAGCCACTGCTCCAGTTTGGGGGTTACTGCCCCGAGGGCCCCGATGACCACAGGCACCACTGTGGTCTTCACCTTCCAGGCCCTCTCCAGTTCTTCCCTGAGGCCCTGGTATTTCTCCAGTTTCTCCTTTTTCCTGATGTTGCAATCACTTGGTATTGCTACATCTACCACAACGGCTTTCCTCTGATGTTTATCCACTACGACAATGTCTGGTTGGTTCGCCATTACCATTTTGTCTGTCTGGATCTGGAAGTCCCACAGGATCTTAGCTCTGGCGTTCTCCACCACCTTTGGGGGTGTTTCCCACTTTGATCTCGGGGTTTCCAGTCCATATCTGCACAGATGTTTCTGTACACTATGCCTGCCACTTGGTTATGTCGCTCCATGTACGCTTTCCCTGCCAGTATCTTGCACCCTGCTATGATGTGCTGGACTGTCTCAGGGGCCTCCTTGCACAACCTACTTGGGTCTTGTCTGGTGTGTGGTAGATCTGGGCTCTATTGCTCTGGTGTTTAGGGCCTGTTCCTGGGCGGCCAGGATGAGGGCCTCTGTGCTGTCCTTGAGTCCAGCTTTTTCCAGCCATTGGTAGGATTTACTGATATCAGCCACTTGGGTTATTTGCTGGTGGTATCCCATGTAGGGGCTTGTCCTCCCATGATGGTATCTCTGGCACCTCAACCTCCATTCCCTGTTGTCTGAGACATTCACTGAGCACATTGTCTGTTGAGGCTTTGTCCCTGATGTATTTATGGATCTTAGTTGTTTCGTCCTGGACAGTGGTTCTCACACTCACTAGTCCTCTGCCTCCGTCCTTGCGGCTCGTGTACAGTCTCAGGGTGCTGGATTTGGGATGGAACCCTCCATGCATGGTTAGTAGCTTTCTAGTCTTAATATCTGTGGCTTTTATCTCCTCCTTTGGCCAGCTAATTATTCCAGCAGGGTATCTGATTACTGGCAGGGCATAGCTGTTTATCGCACGGATTTGTTCTTGCCTTTGAGCTGGCTTCTCAGGACTTGCCTTATTCGTTGGAGGTATTTAGCTGTGGCTCCTTTCCTTGTGGCCTCATCGAGGTTGCCATTTGCTTGTGGTATACCTAGGTACTTGTAACTGTCCTCTATGTCTGCTATTGTTCCTTGTCGGAGTGAGACTCCTTCTGTGCGGATCACCTTCCCCTCTTTGTGATCAGCCGACCACACTTCTCTAGTCCGAATGACATCCCAATGTCAGTGCTGTAGATCCTTGTGGTGTGGATCAGTGAGTCGATGTCTCGCTCACTCTTGGCGTACAGCTTGATGTCATCCATGTAGAGGAGGTGACTGATGTTGGCCCTATTTTTGAGTCGGTATCCGTAGCCAGTCTTGTTGATAATTTGGCTGAGGGGTTCAGGCCTATGCAGAACAGTAGCGGGGACAGAGCATCTCCTTGGTATATGCCACATTTGATGGACACTTGTGCAAGTGGTTTGCAGTTGGCTTCAAGGGTGGTTTTCCACAGCTTCATCGAGTTTGCAATGAAGGCTCTCAGAATCCTGTTGATGTTATACATCTCTAGGCATTCAATGATCCAAGTATGCGGCATTGAGTCATAGGCTTTCTTGTAATCGATCCAAGCCATGCACAGGTTGGTGTGTCGGGTTTTGCAGTCTCGGGCAACTGTGCGGTCTACGAGGAGTTGGTGTTTGGCTCTGGTATTTACACCGATACCCTTCTGTGCCGTGCTCATGTGTTTATCCATGTGTTTGCTTATCTTGGCCGCTATGATGCCTGACATGAGCTTCCAGGTTGTGGAGAGGCAGGTTATTGGTCGGTAGTTGGGTGGGACTGGACCCTTTGATGGATCCTTCTGGATTAGGATTGTCCGTCCTTCAGTTAACCATTCAGGGTGAGTCCCACTTTGTAGCAGCTGGTTCATTTGGGCTGCCAGTCGCTCATGGAGAGCAGTGAGTTTCTTTAGCCAGTAGGCATGGATCATGTCAGGCCCTGGTGCTGTCCAGTTTTTCATGCCTGAGACTCTTTCTTGAACATCTGTCGCAGTGATGGTTACCGGGGCTTGCTCAGGGAGGTTGCTGTGGTCCTCTCGTAGAGAGATCAGCCACTGTGCATTGCTGTTGTGGGACGCCTCCCTTTCCCATATGCCTTTCCAGTATTGTTCAGTCTCCAGCCTTGGTGGGTCTGCTCTGTTGTTATTACCCTGCCATTGAGAGTACACCTTAGCTGGTTGAGTGGAGAAGAGCCGGTTAATCCTTCTGGATTCATTCTCCCTTGTGATCTCTCTGGACAAGGCTTTGGAGGGCTTGGAGCCTCTGTTTGGCAGTTTCAAGTGCTTCAGGTATGGGCATCTGACTGTACTTTCTGGGTACTGGTCTTTTCATTGTACCCTTGTGGAGCTCTGACAGTTGGCTCACTTCCCTCCTTGTTACCTTGATTTTAGCCTCTAACCGTCTTTTCCATGGTGGGTATTGGGTCTCATGGTTGCTCTTATAGCCAAGTATCTCAAGGATCACTGATGCTGAGTTGTAGATCAGCTCATTGGGTTTCTGTTATGGTGTTGGTAGGGATCGTTCTCAATGCTGCATTCACATTCTCAATGAGACTTTCTGATGGTACTTCACTCAGCCCTTGTAATTGGCGCCGAGGAGGCCTGGTTGTCATTCGGGTCATGATTCTCTCTCTCAGGTCAGCAGCTGTCTCGTTCAGCTCTGTTTCGCTCATTGGGGCCGTGTATCCCCTCACTGGGTGGGGACTTGTAGTTAAGTCCCCACAGTCCTGACATCCGGGTTCCTCCCTTTTGCCGTAGCATTTGTGTTGTATCTCGTCAATCTCAAGTTGTGATAGCAGTTGCCGTTTGCGGATGTTGGAACACTGAGCTACTAGTTGTTTAGCACTTAGTGTTGACTGGGGATGTCGAAGTGACCATTTCCTTCCCCAGTCTTGCATGTAACCTCTCTCACTAGGGTTACTTGAGTAGTAGCATTCCAACAGATCCACATTTTCATCTCTCGCCATTTCCGTCTTGTTCCAGTAGCCCATTTGTCATCAAGGTGCTCTGGTTCCCCAACACCTGACGCACCTTTTTTGGCCGGGCGACGTCTGAGCCGGCATGTTACGCAACTTAGTATCTCTCATGGTATGAGGTAGGCAGTACTTGAAGGGTCTTGCCTAAGGACCCAGACTGGATTCGAACCCTGCCCTCTCGGGTGATATACTGATGCCTTATGTATTGAGCTATCCAGTCAGCTTGTGTGCGTGTGTGTGTGTGTGTGTGTGTGTGTGTGTGTGTGTGTGTGTGTGTGTGTGTGTGTGTGTATGTATAAAATTCCCTTCTCACCCACCGCGGGTGGTTCTTATCCTCTGAGCTCGGGTCCTCTACCAGAGGCCTGGGAGCTTGAGGGTTCTGCGCAGTATCTTGGCTGTGCCAAGGACTGCACATTTCTGGACTGAGATGTCTGATGTTGTTCCTGGGATCTGTTGTAGCCACTGCTCCAGTTTGGGGGTTACTGCCCCGAGGGCCCCGATGACCACAGGCACCACTGTGGTCCTCACCTTCCAGGCCCTCTCCAGTTCTTCCCTGAGGCCCTGGTATTTCTCCAGTTTCTCCTTTTTCCTGATGTTGCAGTCGCTTGGTATTGCTACATCTACCACAACGGCTTTCCTCTGATGTTTATCCACTACGACAATGTCTGGTTGGTTCGCCATTACCATTTTGTCTGTCTGGATCTGGAAGTCCCACAGGATCTTAGCTCTGGCGTTCTCCACCACCTTTGGGGGTGTTCCCCTCTTTGATCTCGGGGTTTCCAGTCCATATTCTGCACAGATGTTTCTGTACACTATGCCTGCCACTTGGTTATGTCGCTCCATGTACGCTTTCCCTGCCAGTATCTTGCACCCTGCTGTGATGTGCTGGACTGTTTCAGGGGCCTCCTTGCACAACCTACACCTTGGGTCTTGTCTGGTGTGGTAGATCTGGGCCTCTATTGCTCTGGTGTTTAGGGCCTGTTCCTGGGCGGCCAGGATGAGGGCCTCTGTGCTGTCCTTGAGTCCAGCTTTTTCCAGCCATTGGTAGGATTTACTGATATCAGCCACTTGGGTTATTTGCTGGTGGTACCTCCCATGTAGGGGCTTGTCCTCCCATGATGGTATCTCTGGCACCTCAACCTCCGTTCCCTTTTGTCTGAGACAT